AAAAAGGGAGGTTAACACCTCCAAACCCATCGAAGCCCATCTAAACCCCTATAAACCCTAAACCCTAAACCCCTAAACCCTAAACCCCAAAAAAGATTTGAAGCCTTTGAGCCCGTTGTAAGAACCCGCCCTCAGGTCATGCTGGCCATCAACCACCTGATCGCATGTGGCTGGTATGGCGTGGCCTACTGGACCAGAATCCTGGTAAGCACTTAGCTTTACCTAAACCCAAAGAACCTATTTTTTCAGGATTTTATATAACTGAATCATAATAAGGAACGCAAAAAGGTAGGTTCTTTACCCTACCCTCCAGGCACCTACTATATAGGGCACTAGTTGCTCTAGTACCCTCTATAGTAGGTACCTGGAGGGTGAGGGCTAGGGCTTTGGGATTGGAGTTTTCAGGATTGCCGCACAGCGAGGATCATAAGTGGCTCAACTAGCTTGTAAGCCCTCCCTGGCTTCCAGTCAGACGTGGTGTTGCAACTTTTTTCAGGCCCCTCTAGGGCCTCAGGGCATGACTCTGTTGCTTTACGGTTTGCAGGTTTTGAGCTTTGGGTGTGAGCGTTGAGGGGGGATCACATACTATTGAGTTCTGATCCCCACGTCTTCTTGTAGGCTGTTAGCTTTTGCTTGTTTGGACTCTACGTGCTTTTCTTGGGTCTCCGGCTTTCTCTGTTTTGGGTTCAAGAGTTAGGAATTTATGAGTGAGGAGCTCCTCATCTGGAGCGTGTATTCTGGTGAAACCCTGCCAAAACAAGGAGTCCATAGTTCCCATTCCCAAAGGCTCCATGTACCGTTATAGCAGATACTTAGGCCTTAAAGGGGTCCCTATATAGGTACTTTCAGGCCTAAGTATCTACTATAAAGGTACATGGAGCCTTAGGGATTGTAGCTCGTCTGTGTTAGAGGTACGGACTGTGCGATGGGTCCATGGGCACCCTTGTCCTCTGCGGGACGCAAGCGGGATTGGACTTTGCTGTTGAAAGGGTTCAGGGAAGCAGTGCGGTGACATCCGCACTCCTGAAAAAACTTTAAGATAAGCATCAACTTATGTGAGACTCCTGAGACCTGCGCCCCTAACAAGGGACCATCATTTAGACAACTACAAATGTACAGGGCGTGTGGCTCTTACAAACCCATCTCTCAGTGCGGGAAGGCGACTTGGGCAACTGGCTCGATGGTGCCAGTATCAACGCGGACTCCACGCCGGTGGGCAGATGGCATTATGAACCCTAAACCCAAGGTTTAGGGTTTAGGGTTTAGGACCCAAAACCCTAAACCCTAAACCCTAACAGGGACTTTCTGGGTTTCGTAGTGAGGCTTTGCAATCGTCTTGCTCCCGATCCTGCACTTTACTAGCGCTCATGTTTGCCTAACCCTAAGGCTCCATGTACCTTTATAGTAGATACTTAGGCCTGAAAGTACCTATATAGGGACCCCTTTAAGGCCTAAGTATCTGCTATAACGGTACATGGAGCCTTTGGGTAAGGGTCCAAGTAGTCTTTATTTATGGTTTTAGGTACCCCAAAAGGCCCCAAAGTCCTTAAATAATGGGTGCTTGGACCCTTAGGGTTTGCGTGATAAACACGGCGCTTGTAGACACTCTGGACATGCTGAACCCAAAGGCTCCATGTACCTCTACCTTAAGAACCCAAAACCTACTTTTTCGTAGGGTCCCTATAGATCCCATATTACGGTTTATAATAAGAACCAACAAAAAAGTGGGTTTGGGGTTCTTAAGGTATAGTAGATACTTAGGCCTTGAAGGGGTCCCTATATGCGACGTTCTCTGAATACCTGGAGGAGATAGTGCTTTATTGTGAAAGGAAAAACAAAACTGAGTAAGGCTTGTCGGCTCAAGTCTTTGTGTGTTTTGGGGGAAGGTCTCTGGCCGTCTCGGGGTGGTTCCCTTGCTTGTTGTGGGTTCTCCCCTGGTTCCTGCCCCGTTCGTTCGGCGGTCAGAGACCTAGGTAGCCATGTCGCCTCGCTTCTGGACGCTGCTCCTGCTCTTACTTTGCTGCGCCACGGTGCTTGCAGCTCCGAAAGCTGGACATACACCGGAGATGGGGAACCCTCTGGAGGAAGGAACACCGGAGGAAGAGGATGGCTTCCTGGCCATAGTGGAGCAGATCGGATATGGTGAGCTGGCGGGAGACTCCAATGCGGTGGAAGGGACGGCCTCCACACTTTATCGGGTGACGCCGGTGAACATACCCCATGGGATTGGCAATGCGGATGCGGCTTGCAGCTCAGCAGCTGGGACATCGGCCGTGGGACACACTAACCCTACCGCGGTTTGCGAATGGACTGCCGAGATGCAGGACGATCCTGAGTCCACGCTAATGGCGAATATTCCTCCGGAGGCCCGCCCTCCGATGGAGCAAATGCTACTGGCTCTGCAGACCTTCGTCATGTTTTGCTCCGAGGATGCTGAACCCAACCAAAGCCCACAATGGCAGACGATCCTGGAGGTCTACACGGCTCATATACAACAGGCGACCCGCTTTACGACAATGGAGGCTTTAATCGCAGCCCTTCAGTATCGCATGGAGAACACAATGCGGGCAGATCGCATCGCTTTAGCACTGCAGCGGTTTCAGCGCTACTTCGGTGCCTCAGGCGGGAAATCCTTGAGACAGACACCTGGTTCTTTCGCAGTGAGTGCATCATCCGAGTATCTGCGTCAGGCTCATCGCGGGACTGAGGGCATCGCCTCGCCTGCCAGGCCCTTGGCATGCTGGTGCCTTGCACCAAGTGCTGCGTTTCCTAGCATCACCTGGCAGGAGCGGCAATGGACTGAGGGTTCTGCCTCGTCTGCCAGGCCCTTATGCTATTGCACAAGACGAGGTGTGAAATACTGCTGGCCAGGTTGGACCATGTGGCATGAGGGCTCTGCCTCGCCAGTGCGCTGCTTATCGCCAATGCATAGGGAATCCTTCGTTGCTCTCAATCATGCAATCATTAGGTCCACAGTGCTGTTCTCACTGGCAGCGATGCCCTCATCAGTGCGGGCCCTCGTGTATAGTAGCTCTTGCTACCACTTCAGAGTAATGGTTCACCACATCATGGGGCGAGGTGACTACATGGAATGTCGTGACGATGCGTTGGCCAGGCGCCTGTCCACCATGCCCTCATCGCAACCGGCATGCGTACTTAAGTGGGCTCTGAGGCTTGGCTTTGGAAGTGAGGCTGTGGGTCCGACTCCTCTTGAGTTTTGTGCAGGGTTGACAACCATAGCAAAAGGAGTATTCTTGCGTGCTGCTTCGAGCCTGTGTCTGTGCAATCAGCAAATCGTACCTGCAGCTGTGGCCTATTTGGCTTCCTTCTGGACGCAATACTATAGTGAGCGGGGGGGCTTAAAAGAAGTTATATTGTACTTAGCAAAGATATATTGAGTTAACCGAGGGTTATA